GTAATCTTTTTTTTTTTTGGTGAAATTCCCAATGAAATATGTGAGTGGGACCAACTACGGATGATGAATTTGTCTCATAATCAACTTTTTGGTCATATACCTTCTTGTTTGGGACATTCAATTAGTGCTCCAAATTCATTTTTACGTGAGAGTGTTATTTGGAAAATTTCAACATTCAACATTGACACATCCATAAAAATGGAAAGCACATTAATGCTGGAAGTGTGTACGTGGTTTGATGATTACATACAAGATCAAGTAGGTGGTCCTACACTTATGAAGGCAACATTATTGGTTACATGTTTGGAATTGATCTCTCTTGCAACCAATTAGCAAGCCAAATCCCACTTGAAATGGGAAACTTAAGTGACCTTCATTCACTTAACTTGTCTCAAAACAATCTAATAGGACCTATACCTTCTACCCTCTCAACGCTGAAGCAACTTGAGTGCATGGACCTTTCATTCAATGATTTGAATGGTGAGATTCCATCTTAGCTTACTAAGCTAAACTCTTTGGCCGTCTTTAGTGTTGCACACAACAATCTTTCAGGTTTTATCCCATATGGAAAAGACAATTTGGAACCTTTGACAATAATAGTTACAAGGGAAACCCTCTTCTTTGTGGACCTCCATTGAAGAAAAGTTGCAAGGAAATTGATTCAACCAAAGGTACCAAATTCCTTAAATGAAGAAAGAGAAGGAAGTTTGATAGATATGGATGTTTTTTATATAAGTTTTTTTATTACTTTTGTGGTTGTTTTGATATCAATTGCAGCAATCTTGCACTTAAATCCATATTGGTGATGGGCATGGTTTTATTTGATTGAGAGATGTGTGATGATAGTCTAAGGTAAATGACCTCAGGCAAGCTAAACTATTTTAGACGTATGACCTCGAGGTGCCTTAGACGCCACTTGAAGCGTGATGAGCTCAGATGAGTTTGAGCTCATCCCTTCTATTTTGGCTCTATAGTAACTCTGTACATACTCAAACTTTATATGAGAGATTTTTGCGATGATTGACACATATGATCCTACTTTTCCATAGGAAAGAACGTGTGGACACCCCTTTGAAGGCTATAAATACCCCTCAAGAGTCCTTCCCCAAAGGTAATTGAAATCTATCTCAAGTTTAGTTCTTGCTCCCTTATTAGTAGACTCGATTATTACTCATTTAAGCATCGAAGTGTCTACCTTGAAAACCAACCTCGAGGCTTTGTAGGTTAACCAAAGAGAAAATCTAAGCGAGAGAAGACTTTGGAGTTCTTCACAACTACATTTGGCATCATCTGTGGGAATCCAGCTAAAAGCCTTGTTGGTAGTTATTACAAGATGGTTCATACACGTTCAACTTAGCACGGAATTCCTCCACAGGGTCAAGGAAGAGGTCAGTTCCCTAGTGCTAACCCCATGCCCCAAGTTGTGCCAGTTGCTACTGCTCAACATTAGCACGTGGAAAGAGCAGGAGAGAATAACCCGCAACGCCCAACTGCAACCCCAAATGATGCCATAGTTGCTCAGCTCAATGTCATGTAACAGTAGTTCAATGTATTCCAGCTTGTCCTCATGTAGCTATTGGCTAAGGACAACCCAGGTGACCCCCTTATCAACCTACTAAACCCAGCCAATCAGACAACCAACCATCAGCCCCATCAGAATGACAATTCTCAGGCCTGCAGCATAGGTTCGTCTCATAGTGAGTCTCAAGGCCAATCTCACATGGCACCTCTGCCTCCAAATCCACCTTAGCTAGTTACTTTAGATGTTTCCAGGAGATTGGATAACTTGGAAAAAATGATGGCTGAGCACAGAGGTGGACCACCAGCTTAACCTATTGCTACTTCCATGCCTACTCCCCTCAACACCAACATCATTCAGGAACCATACCCATTTGGATTCAAAATGCTCCAGTTTGAGACATATTATGGCACCAATGATCCTGATGATCACTTGCATGCATTCTACTCCATCATGCAGGATTAGAATGCCTCAAATGCTCTAATGTGCAAGATATTCCCTTCTACATTATGTGGCAATGCCCAGACCTGGTATTATAGTTTACGGTTGAACTCAAATTAGTTCATATGCTGAGATGGCCATAGCCTTTGCCACCAAGTTCTCCAGTTGGAGGTTGATTAAGAAGACAACACCTAAGCTCATGTGGGTAATTAAGAAGGAAAGTGAATAATTGAAGAACTACATGAACAGGTTCAACAATGCCATGCTCAAGATCAACTCATTTGATCAAGCAGTGGGAATAGCTATCATAATCAAAGGTCTCAGCCATGAGCGGTTTTGAGACAACTTGATCAAGCATCCATCTATCACCTTTGATGAGGTCAATGAGAGATCTTGTAAGTTTATCATAGCTGAAAAGTATGCTTTATCCCGTAAGCCGACACCCAATAAAGAGAGCAGAAGTCCAACATGGAGGGAAGAGGGGCAGAATAAGAAGAAGTTCAAGGCTGTCTAGAATCGAGGTCTACTTCCTATCCCTAAAGTTGATAAACCCAATCCAAGCACCTTGCAAACCTCAGCAAAGCAGATCACTTGGACTTCGTTCACATTACCAAGGTTATAGATTCTGATGCAAATCAAGAAAAAAAATGAAACTGAAGAGACCACTGCCTATGCAAAGTCCACCTATCTTCAGAGATCACAATAAGTACTGCGACTTCCACCAAGACCACGGCCACACCATACAAGAATGTAATAACTTGAAATTTGAACTTGAAGGCCTAGCTCGCAAAGGGATGTTGAATGAATACATCTCAAGTAAATCCCAGCTCAAATTTGTTCGAGAATAAGGACAACAGTCTCAAGGACCCCGCGATACAAGCAGTAGGCCCAAAGTTGGTTATCAACAAGCCCCACCAACTCAAATCATTCACATGATAAATGTTTGGGCTTGAAGCAGGAGGGACGAGCTCTAAGTAGCCAAAGATGTATGTGAAGGAGGTTAAACACCAGAATTGAGCTCAAAAGAGGAAGTTTGATGATGCAAACTGGAAGAACCAACCCATAACATTTACATCGGCTAACCTCGATGGTGTTCACACATAATGATCCATTGGTCACCTCAATCATTGTCAACAACTGTGAAGTTCAAAGTGTCCTCATCGACATCGGAAGTGCTCCTGACATCATGTACTACCACTATTTTGAGAGTCTCGGTCTTGATCTTGCCTTCCTACAAAAGTATGATAGCCCTATATACATATTTAACAATCAGCCAGTTCATGTTGAAGTCGTGCTAAGGCTCAATGTGGCATTTAGCTTAGGTTGGATATATGTAACCCCTTCAATTTGGTTCTTGGTCATGAAGATGACATCATCCTTCAACATTGTCATCGGGAGACCTACCTTGACCAAAATCCTAACTGTTGTCTCACAATCCCGTTTATGCAACCAAGAGATAGCCAAGCACTGTTACATGACATCTATCACTTGACCTTGGAAGGACAAGGAAGCAACTCAGCCACCAAAACCAATTCAATTAGAAACCCCAGGTAACTAGCAAGTGATAGTTGTGAAACTATCGAATAACCAATATGATGATGAAGCTAGGGTTACCCCAATTGAGGAGGTGGAAAATGTGTAGATTGATGAAAAGCACCCCACCAGGAAGACACAGATTGGAACAAAGTTAAGCTCGAAGGAAATGGAAGAGCTCATAAACTTTTTGAAGGTAAATAAAGATGTGTTTGCATGAACCTCAACTGACATACCTGGAATTCTGACTTCAGTTATTGTACACAGGTTGAGCACCAATCCCTTGAAGAAACTAGTGGCTTAGAATAAGTGTCTCTTTGGTGGGGAGAGGCTACGAGTCATCAAGGAAGAGGTGAAGAAGCTTTTGCAAGTAGGATTCGTAAGGCAGGTGCATTACTGTGAATGGGTCACCAATCCTGTCTTAGTGAAGAAGTCAAATGACAAATGTAGGATGTGCATCGACTATACTAATCTTAATGATGCCTACCCAAAGGATTGCTACCCCATGTCGAGTATAGACAAGCTAGTAGAAGCTGCATCTGGAAATGAAAGGTTGAGCCTATTGGATACTTACTCGGGGTACCACCAAGTTCACATGGCACCTGAGGATGAGGTCAAGACCTCCTTCTGTGCAGGGGATGAGATCTATTGTTACGTGATGATGCCTTTTAGGTTCAAGAATGCAAGAGCTACTTATTAAAAGATGGTGACAATTGTATTCCGAGCTCAAATCGATATGAATTTAGAGGTCTATGTGAATGATATAGTGGTCAAGAGCCTTAAAGCAAAAGATCATTTGATCAACTTGACCGAGACGTTTGACAACTTGAAAAAGCACACCATGAGGTTAAACCCTGTGAAGTGGGTTTTCGATGTTGAATCAGGTAAATTTTTGGGGTTCACGATCTCTCAAAAGAGGATAGAGGTCAATCTCGAGAAGATAAAGGTGATTGAAGAAATGGAACCTCCAAGGTCAGTCAAGGATTTGCAACGCTTGACTGGGCGTGTTGTAGCCTTACATAGGTTTATCTCCAAATCAGCAGACAAATGCCTTCCTTTTTTCAAGGTTTTGAGATAGGCTATCCAAAAAGATGAAGCAAAGAAACTAAGGAAATTTTAGTGAGCTTCAAAGTGCCAAACAATATTCGACAAGCTCAAGAAGTACCTCAATTTGCCACCTTTGTTGACTAAGGCTGAAAAGGGCAAGATCTTGTACCTCTACCTTGGAGTGTCAGATACAACAATAAGTTTTGTTCTGGTCCGAGAAGTAAGGAAACAACAGAAGTCGTATATTTCACCATTAAGGTGCTACAAGGAGCTAAGCAGAGGTATTCAGTGGTTGAGAAGGCAGCCTTAGCAGTTGTCACCTATGCTCGGAAGTTAAGGCCAACTTCTAGTCCCATCCAATCATTGTGCTCATTGACCAACCCTTATGACAAATCTTACAGAAGCCTTAGCAATTGTGGACCCTTTACGTTGATGGGTCATTTGACAATAGTGGATCAAGTGTCAGGGCAATGTTAATTGGACCTGATAACTTTCAAACTGAGCATGCATTAAAATTCAATTTTGAAGCGACAAACAACGTGGCCTAGTATGAAGCATTGCTTTTGGGTCTCTGTTTGGTAGCCAAACTCAAAGTTAGGGCCATTCAGGTCTACAATGACTCCCAACTTATGGTTAACCAAGTAAACTCCACATGTAAAGTAACAGATCCTACTCTTGTGAAGTATGTGGCTATGATCTCTAGGTTGAGGTGCCAGTTTGAGAGATTTCAGATAATCAAGATACTTAGAGCGAAAAATGAACAAACAGACTTCCTATTGAAATTAGCCTTTGACAGCTCTATTGGGATGAGATATGTTTATATTGAAGTCTTTAATGAGTCAAGCTTCCAAAGGCTGAAGACGGTGGAGATCAGTGCCAACCCAGAAACTCCCAACTTGATAGACCCCATCAAAGCGTACATCTAAGATGGCATTGTTCCTAATAAGAAGTAAGAGGAAATGAAGCTGCAAAGGAAGGCATCTCGGTATACCTTAGTTGATGATTTCTTGTATAAAAGATCATATTCTCTTCCTTTTCTTCGATGTTTAATGCTTATAGGGCTAAGTACACCTTACGAGAAGTCCATGAAGACTTATGTGGGAGCCATGTAGGAGCTCGAACTTTGGTCCATAAGGTACTTTGACAAGGGTACTATTGGCCTAACATGTAAGAAGATGCAAAGAAGTTTGTTAATAGGTGCCAAAAATGTCAGTTCTTTGCACATCTTACTCATCAACTAGCAAAGGAGCTCATGAATTTGGTTGCACCATGTCCCTTTCGTTAAAGGAGTAGGGGGAGTGACACATCTAGTTATCGTAGTTGACTGCCTTATAAAGTGAGTGGAAGCTCGGCCCTTTTCTAGTTTGACCTAAAAAAGGATTGAAGATTTTTTGTTCAATTTGGTTATTTGTAGATATGGGATACCAAACCAGATTATTGCTGATAATGGTCCTCAGTTCAACTACACTTCCTTCATGGACTTCTGTTTTAGCTATGGGATTAAGTTAGTGTTCACATTAGTGTACCATCCAGAGGCTAATGGAATGGATGAATCTATTAATAAAGGAATCTTGGAGGGGATTAAATCGAGGTTGGATGAATTCAAGGCCAAGTGGGTAAATGAGCTGAACAATGTCCTCTGGGCATACCAAACTACGAATCAGACAACCACAGGTACACTCACTTATTCTAACCTTGTTGTCCTTATTCCTGTCGATTTATTTGAAATCATAAGTTACAAAGGCATAAAGTGAACGCTAAAACTATAATTCTCTTAATTAGGGGAAACACTCTATTACTTGGCTTTTTGGACCGAGGAAGTCATTCCTGTCAAGATCAAGGTGCCAAGCTTGAGAGTTAGTCATTTTGATGCAACCCTAAATGAGCAACTACTAAGAGAAAACCTTGACTTTTTGGACAAAGTCCATGAGCAAGCTCGACTTCAAACGTTAGCATATAAGTAGAAGTTAGCCAGTTTCTATAATAAAAGAGTCCAACCTCGAAACTTCAAAGTTGGTGACCTCGTCCTAAGGAAGGCAGTGCTCACTGGCTTCAAGACTCGCTTCGACAAATTAGTGCCGAATTGGGAGGGTCCTTATGTGATAGTTGAAATTCCCCACCTCAACGCTTATGTACTTCAAGACACCGAGGGTAAAAGAGTTCCCAGAGTTTGGAATGTGAATAATCTCAAGAAATTTTATCCTTAATGAGCTAATATCTCATCTTATTATTTGTTGAGGTTCCATTCTTAATAAGTTTCAATCTCATTTCATTATTTATTTTTGCAAGTGTTAATTGTTATTCTAATCCCTAATATCGAAGTCAGAAGTCATCAACTCAAGACGCTAAAAAATTCTTCTCAATGAAAGAAACTTGTTAAAATTAAAATTCAGTTACATATAGTTGATGTACAACATCATAAGTCCCAATAAAAAATACAAAGATTAGAAACGGTTAAGCTGGACTAGTCTATCAATTGGTGCTGTTGGTCCACTTCATCATTCTGCACATTGTCACCCACTTCAACACCTCTCCCCACTTCAGCCTCCTCATCAACCACCACAAACTTGTACTCGTACCGAAGTGGGAAGATAGTTCATCTGGCCTCGTCTCACTCCCGTTTAAGTTTGACTTCGAGGCAAAACTCAGCTATCTTGCTCTCCCTATCCTCTTCTACCTTTTCCTCTTGAGTTTCGAATGTAATGCCCGTCATGTCTACCTCAAGATGTTATGCCTTCACCTTCTTCCTAAAGTCGCTAAAGGCCATGACCAGTGTAGGAAAGTGATAGAGATCCACGATCTCGAAAAATGTGGCTGATTAAATGAAGTTAGGGATGTGCTGCTCCATGGAGTTATGGACCTCTAACTCCACTTACCTTCAAACCTCAGCTAGCTCAACATTCTTTTTGGACAGCTCTTCTTCACAACCTTTTCTTTTCTGCTCAACTAGCTCGGCGTCCTTCCTAGCATTTATTAGCTTGTTCCTCAACTTTTCTAGCTCAAACGTAAAGCTATAAAAGTTTTGCTCAGTTGCCCCTTTTTCTAGCTAAGCTTCTTATTCTCGGACATTAGCTTGTTGTGTTCTTTAAGGCAGCTGAAGTACTGAGCCACCAACGCATTCATGAGGTTAACTATTTGCATTACACATCGAAGTTGAAACAAGGTACACACTAATAATATTAACATCATGAATGAGGAAGTTCATAAAAAAGAAAAAAAAAAGAGTCATACCTCAAGAGCATGACGAACCACCCCAACTCCGTCGTCGGCATCCATCTTTTCTTGTGCCCGCTTGAGATCCACCTCTGAGAAGGTGGAGTTCAAGAACCGTTTTGTAGCAGTTCTACTACTTGACTGGTAGAAGCTAGACTTTTGCACTGGGAGAGGTATTATACTCTTCTCTTTCCTATGCGTCACCACTCCAACTTCTCGCAATTCAAGATTGATGTCAACTGGTAGAGACCAAGGTATAAACTCCACTGGCACCTCTTCTGGCTGTCACACCTCCTCTGTTCTCATCCTCTTGTGCGCAGCCCCCTTTCTTTTGCTCCCTTCCGAGCTACTTTTGAGCTTAGCCTGGAAATTGGAGCCCCTCAAGTACCAACTGGCGTAGCTCGGTACTAGAGGTGCCAGCTCCAGTCCTTTCCTCCACCTCAGCCGCGGCTGGATCCTTGGACTTCTTCTTCGGAAGAGTGACGTTGTTACCCCCTGATAGCAGGCAATTCATTTTTCTACAATACAAGCAACAGTTAATGCTTTAATTACAAATACATTCCAAGGTAAGTTAGAGTTAGTTAGGCACACCTTCACTCAATGAGCTCATCCCATATATCTCAGCTGCATCAATCATCTCTGAGCTTGTCAGATGAGTGATGTCAACCACCTCTCCCCTCACCCTTACTAGCCTTTCCACATCTTCCTCACTTTCACTCAAACTGTACTTATTGGGGATGGCTCTCTTCTCCTTCCACCTTTACATTAGACCTTCTCGACTCCGTATTGTTGGCAAAGAAGAACTTATCCTTCCACCCCTTGATGAAGGAAGAACCAGCACTGAAAAGGTTCCTACTCTGACCTCCCCCAACTCGGGGTGTGAAGTAGAACCACCCCTTCTTCTTATTACTCCCACCCTTAATCAGAAAAAAGTGCTTGAATAGATTTACAGTTGGCATGATCACACATCGAACTTGGAAGTATACTAAGAACCCTATCACCAATCAAACTGCATTGAGAACGAGCTAAGTCATGCCTAAACCATACTCATTTAGCAACGCCACCAAGAGCTCTAGAATTGGGAACCTCAGCTCGATTGCCAAAAAATGTGCATAAAGCAACATCCAGTGATCCCCATGAGCTGAGCACGCTCATTCTTCGTCCTCAACAGGCCTCAAGATCATGTGAGGTGGGATATTTTAGTTGTCCACCAAATGCACCAGGTTGCTCCTACTTTTCCAGGAGACCTCATAGTTCCTCACCTTAGAAACTACCTCTCCGTCATCAAAATGTTTTAACCTACCATCACTAGCGTCCAAAATCTAAGCAAGGACCTCTACTTCTTCCTTCTTCCCCCCACTTTCCCTACTTGAAGTTTCTAGTTCAGACTCCTCCTTTACCTCTTGCCTTATAGGTCACACCTCTTCACCTCCTCCAATGCTTAATGTCTTCTCAGATGACATTTCCTCTGTTTTGTGGCTCTCACTATAAGTTAAGATTCTCTATAAGTTCTCTCTCACACTCTATCTCGCTTTCTGACCTAACTCTAACTTCTCTAAGTGGACTTAAGCCAAAGTCTGAAAGAGCTAGAGGTATGTCAGACACTTCACTCAAATAAAAAACAGAGCTCATGAAATTACTTGACTTTATGGAAGCTAAGTTGCAACACTTAGAAAATCCCACCCAAATGTTGAAAGCACGAATTGGGAGATTTGAAGCTCGGAACACAAAATTGGCAGCACCTCAATATGTATTCAGCTAGATGAACTCAAAATTACCTAAGTCTATCTATTTATACTAAGGCTTCAAGTCCCTCGATGATTGCGATTGTTCGCATCTAACAACTACGATTGCATCCTTTCGAATTCGACAGTTATTCCTGACTACAATACGTCACACGAGGACAGCTGTCAACTCATGAATTAACTTACTTTCAGTTACATTCCAAAGGCTCATCCAAATCCAATATAATATCCTTGCGTTTCACATTTTGTTGCTTTGGTAAAAATCAACACTTATCTTCTGGTACTTTATTATTTATTTGCATTTTGTCTTTTGTTTGTTGGCCCTTGGGTTTAATTTAAATAACTTCTTATCATTTTTAGCTAATTGTTATTTTGTTTGTTGGTTTAGGACTTGTAAAATATATCCGTCTCTCTATAATAAAATAAAATAAAATAAAGAAGAATTAAAAAAGTTAAAAAGAGAAAAAAAATTACTAAAAACATAAAATTTGAAAATTATTAAAGACTTTGACAAAATGATTTACTTGCTTGTTTGCTCGCCGATCTATTTCTTGGTTTTAAAGTATACTATCATGATATCCACGGAATTTGTGGAGTGCAAGCTCTTCTTTATATTGAAACATATTTTCAGATTTTGAATCTCTTGTATATTAACGATAACTTAATTTACCATTATTTGAATAGATGGCACTTTTGAAATTTTCAGTCATTACACAATTTTTAATTTTCATATCATTTGAATCTTGAGTAGGTGGTGAACACCATAAAAGATGAAGTAAATGTTTGAGGTCTTGGTCTTCCTCGTCCGTTTCTATGTTGCAAGTCAAAGACCAAAATCTAAGTCACAAGTCGAGGTCTTTATCTTTGTTGTTCACGTTAAGTTATAAGTCAAGGTTTTTGCCGTCTATAACACGAACAATATTTTCTTTGGTATTACAAATAAAATTTAGTAATTTTGCAGTTTACTTTGGTTGGACTGCATAGTTTATTAATATGACAATTACAAAGTATTTTCCTAGGAGACCTCATCTTGGCCGCCGCATGTTAAAAATATTTTTGCGTCGCTTTGTATGAAATGTAAGAATATTTAGGCGTGTTACTTTGTATATATGAAAAGTAAGAAGAAATTTTTTTTTTGGACAGCTCTCCTCCCAAGCAATAAATTTTGGTATTGGATAGTTAGAACTATTAGATTTCACCAATAAGCTCATCCTCAATATTTTTTTTAGACAAATATACATTTCTCAAGGATACATGACATTTTTTTGTTTGAGTGTTATTTATGGTATAAATATTATGATATTTTGGCAAAATGAGAAAATTTGGTGTGTTCAATTTAGTTGATTTTATTAAAGACAGTGATTGGTACACACTCTGGTTTAACACACTGCATGACACACTCATTAAAAAATCACTATTTTTTAGTCTGAAATTAAAAACAGATAAGTTTAATGATACAATCATGCACACAGGATACATGAACCGGTTGAATTGACTATATTTATATTATATTTTTAAGGACTAAACTGAGAGTGTGTCAAAAAACGTGTTGAATCAAGAGTGTAACAATCATTTTCCTAATATAAATTTATATTTTTTTTCTTTAAATACTTAAGATGTTTAGAAATACTAATTTGTAGACTAATTTTAAACCATTAAATAATAAATATTAGATGTTTTATAAACTATAAATTAATA